CAGTATTCTTTTGGGTCTCAGGCAATAGATCAGCATTTATTCCTGGCATCCAGATGGACTTTGGGAGCCCATTCCAAGTGGAGGGATGCTATCTCAGCCTGGACACATGGGAGAGGGCATAGGCCCTGCCCCAGATCATATGACAGACTTTGGAGATTTCCCATGAAGGGCCTCACCCTCCTTGGAGAGTGGAGTGGAGATTGGGTGGGGGGTTGGAGGAGGCTTGAAGGGGGGCAGGGGAGGAGGGGAGGGAGAGGAAGCTGGGATTAGCATGTGAAGCAAGCTTGTTTCTAACTTAAATTTTAAAAAATGTTAAAAAAATAATAATCAAATATGGTGTTGAAGAGGCTTACCCTAAGATGCCAGAACACTGACACTGGAGTACATAACAGGGTTAAACTGCCTGCAAAGGAACCTTAAAGGGCCAAAGCCTGAAGCTACAAAGGCAGGAAGTGAGTTGGAATGGAGACTCCAGAATGTGAACATGCCAGAACTGTGAAACTTCAACTGAGGGGAAACTATAGGCAAAGAGGACAGTTGAACTGAGGGAGAGACTTTAGTAACACAGCTGAAGGGTGGGGCTACTCAAGGCTGTTGGAGTCCAAATGATTCCATCACAAGTCAGCAAACAACATTTGGTGTTACTTTGGTCCATCTCTATATACTGTGTTCAAGGGGCTTTACAGTTAGGAGTTACTTCATGTTGATTCATTAAAAGCTATATATCTGTGTATGTCTGTGTGTGCATATGTGCATGCCACAGCACATGTGGAGACAGGAGGACAACTGGCAGGGGCTGGGTGTCTCCTTCTACCATAATATCTTGGGGCTCAAACTCAGGTTGCCAGGCTTTGCAGCAAATTCCTTTGCCCACTGAGCAACCTTGCCCCTTGGACAAATGGCTTCTGAGCAATATTGGAACTACTGAGATTTTTGGTCATTGGTATAAAGTAAAGGTAACTTGTATTATAGGTCTTTGAAGAACAGGAAAGGCAATTTTAAGTAGTAAACTAATGAGGAGGTAGACATGTGGTAGTTAATCTTTATTGTCAATGTGATCGAATTTACAGCCATGTTTGTGAGGACATTCTCAGAGTGGTTTAGCCGAAAACTCTACCCACAGACTAGAGTTGGAGACTGAATAAGGAGGAAAACATAAAAAAAAGTTTTTAAAATGGAAAGTAAAGCATCAATATTTATTTCTATTCGTTTCCTGAATGCCAATGCAATGTGACCAACCCTCTCACTCCCCTTGCTCCCTGCTATAGCAACTGTATCCTCAAGCTGGGACCAAAAGGTGGAAAACCTTAACGAAAAAGAAAATTATTTCATGTGCCAGCAACATCTCAAATTGTTTAATTTTTTTTAAATTGGGCTTTACTGTACAAGTCTAATTCAATATACACTTAGAGACAAAGCTTAAAAGTTATATGGGATTTTAAAAACAAGGATAATACTTATATCCATTATGAAAAAAAGAAAGAAAGAAAGAAATGAGATCTAAACAGAGAAACAAGCCAGTAGTACACACCTGTAATTCTGAGGCAGGAAGATTAGGAGTCCGAAGCCTATGGGGCTACAGAGACCCAGACTCAAATAAAGGAGATAGGTGCTTGCTGCACAAGCATGAGGGTCTGAGTGTGGACCCCTAGCACTCATGTAAATGCTGCGAATGCTGACACACATCTGTCACTCTACTGTTTGGAGACAGAGACAGGCAAATTACTGGGTAGCAGGCTTTCCCCAAATCAGGAGAAAATAAACTCACCAGCCTGGGGGCTGGTGGCACATACCTTTGATCCCAGCACTTGGGAGGCAAAGGCAGGTAGATCTCTTTGAGTTTGAGGCCAGCCTGGTCTACAAAGTAAGTTCTAGTACAGCCAGTGTTGTACAGAGAATATATGTCTCAAAATAAAAAGAACCCAAAAAGTTATCAGAGAGCATTAGGCAAGATGCCTAATGTCTAAAGAATAAAAATGTCCACCTCAGGCTGGAGAGATGATTCAGAGGTTAAGAGCACTGGCTGCTCTTCCAGAGGTTCTGAGTTCAATTCCCAGCAACCACATGGTGGCTCACAACCATTTATAATGAGATCCTGTGCCCTCTTCTGGCATGGAGGCAAAATGTTGTATACATAATAAATAAATAAATAAATCTTTTTAAAAAATGTCTACCTCATTTAGGCATAACTGACACTAAGATATATTTTAGGAATTAGTAGGAATCCATAGGCCTTTACCATATATCAGACAGTGTTAAATACAATGTTTAAAGGCAAAGACTGGTCAATCTATAGATAGATAGATAACAGTTCTTAATGACCTTTCACTATTGTTGGTTATGATAGAAAAAGTCAAATAATTAGGATCAGTAATATTAATATCTAAACATGTCAGGCTTTCTAAGGGACATGGGGAAAAAATCTGAACATATTCCTGCTAACAATGAACAAATAAAATCCTATTTTTACCTATTGTATTTATCACGAATCATTATTTCACATGAGCATAAAATACACCCATTCATGGCATTAGAAAGATGGCTAAGTAGTTAAAAACATTTGCTGCTCTTGGAGAAATCCTGGGTTTGGTTCCCAATACCAAAATCAGGTGACTCACAACCTCCTGTAACTACTTCATTTACAAGGGATCTAAAGCCCTCTGGTTTCCAGCAGCACTTGCATGAAGGCACACATACATCAATATTTTTTAATTAATAAGCAAATATTTAAAATTTTGCATACATATACCTCTTGATGAGCACATTTTAAGGCTAAACATCTGCATATTGAATTATGCTTTAATTGATACTAATTACATTGATTCTTCACAATTTTAAGGGAAAAAAATAAAAAAAAACAAAGAACCATAACAAATTTTAAGATGCTGAATTTGGGAAGATGATTAGCAAATGACAACAGAAAGTGATAGAAGGTATAAGTCTGTAAATCCATGTGATTTGCTCTCCTATTAAATGAGAGAATGAAACTGATCCTAAAGACAGAAATAAGCTGCTTATTCAGAAAGAAGTTAAAGCAAGCAGGACCAGGTGAAAAACCAGCCATGTACAGGTGAACTACGGACTACGTGCAGATCTTTCCTTTCCTTTTGGCCGTTTCATTTCTGTAAACAGACCATTCTCCTCCCAGCATCTCCCGTGTGCTGAGATCGAAAGCATGCCATGACCACATCCATCCTCCTCTACTCTTTGAAAACATGCAGGTATAGTTAAACAATGCTGTATTTCTCCACTTGGCTTTGTACCTCCATTCACACTCTCAGGAAACACACAATGAGATATACAATATTTCCACATTTTGGAGTACAATGTACATAATCATTCTTTTGAAACTGCTTTTTTAATTAAACACAAATTGAGCCAAGCATCTGTTTAGAACTATAGGAGGTTTCAGCAGCCAACAGTTATGATCTATGGTATCAAACAATAAAATTAAAGATTTGAAAAAGGAAAATATATATGCTATGCATCTCATCTAGTGAAATTATTTGAAATCTAAGTAAGTATGAAGGCCTGAAATTTCAGACAAGACAAATTTTTAAAATAGAAACAAAAATATAACCAGGCATCTCATTGTATGACTGAAGCAAGTATATCATTCTTGTAACTGAGATGAGGGTTCTGCTCAAAAAGGTGAAGAGACTAAAAGTGAATTAGAGGTAAGGAGGTGGAGACAAATTGCATAAACAGTTGTGGTGGTTTGGATGAAAACAGCCCACATAGTGGCATTATTGGAGGCGTGGTCTGGAGTGGGTGTACCCTTGTTGGAGGAAGTGTATCACTGGGGTGGGCTTTGAGGATTCAGAAGCTCAAGCCAGGCTCAGTGTGTCACTCTCTCTTCCTGCTGCTTGCAGACTCAGATGTAGAACTCTCAGCTACTTCTCCAGCACCATGTCTACCTGCAGGTGAACATTTCCTGCCGTGATAACACTAAACTAAAACCTCTGAACTGTAAGCCATTCGGAATTAAAAGTATTCCTTTATAAAAGTTGCTGTAATCATGGTGTCTCTTCACAGCAATAGAACACTAAGACAAAAGCTAATTCTTTCAAGGAGCTTCACTGAAAGTACAGTAGAAAGTGAGGGTTACAGTATGCAAGAGATGGCTTCCATGCTAATTAGGGGAGTGTTCTCGTAGGTGAGCAGAAACTGGAGGTTCATGGGAATGGTGACTAACCGACAAGGTCGCTGAGCCAGTCTGGAGTTCATTAGAGAGAGTGACTGTCCAAAGGTAAGGCACAGAGTCTTTCTACCATTGTGACCAAGAAGAAGGGACAAGAATCAATAAAAACAGACTTGCAGATTTGGAAAGTAAACAAGGGTATTGACTAATAATTTCTGTGCTTTAAGTTTTAAAGCAGGTGATAAAGAGAATGTAGAAACGGATGCTAGGATAGGAGATAACTCAGCAAAATGCTTGTTGTGCAAGAATGGAAAACTGAGTTCAATTCTCAGAACTCACATTTTAAAAAAAGCCAAGCATATTAACACGTTTGTTATTCCAGCATTATGGTAGTAGTGACAGACCCATCCCTAGGACACACTGGCCAGTCAACCTAGCCTAATCATTGAATTCTAGGTCAAGTAAGTGACCTTGTTGGCAGAAAGTAAGGTGGCTGGTGCCTGAGGAATGATACATAAAGTTGACCTCTGCTTCCCAAACATGTGAATGTAAATCATACTAAAATGTACACTTTGTGGACATGCATACACATGAACACACAATTTGGAGATTGAAGAATGAAAAAACAAAAGAGAAAGGAAAGGGGTTCATGTTTGGTGAGCTTCCCAAGTTCACACTATTGAAAACACAGGCACAGACTGAATAAAAAGAGCAGATATAGACAGAAATGGCATCAGAACCCTGATCAAATCTTGACAGCAGGCTCTGTCTGAATCAAGGAGGCTAATCTGTAGATTTCCCTGCATTCTGCTGATTGGTAGAGCCCATGAAGACTATCAGGTGCCACAGCCAAAAGGGTAGCCCTTGAGAAATTCCAAAGCAGTTGGCAGAGTGGCAGTTGGTGGGCTGGGTCAAAGGCTCACAGTACAGCTGCACTACTGCAAAAAGTCAAGTACAAGGTATCGTGGAAATATTAGGCTAAAGTGGCAAAGGGACCCAGGCAGGAATCCCGTAAAAAAATGGTGCCCTCAACATGTGGCAAGAATTTCCACTTAAGTCTAACAAAAGCTTAAAAGGGATTTTAGAAACAAAATAACAGAGACAAGCATGGGTTCTTGGTGGCAGCATTTTCTCAGGTGGGCTTTGTTTTACTAGAGACAAGTATCTGTGGTAAACTTATGCCTGCCATGTTGGAAAGCCAGCCGCTTTAATTTTAACAATGTTGTTTAGCAGATAAAAGACACTTGGCCAGAAAAAAAGATTTACAGTAAAGTCAGATTCAGATGAAGTAAAACCTCTAAAAGGTCTACAGTGTGTTTAAAAATACACGTAGGCTTGGAGAGAGAGAAAAAAAAAAACAATATAGTGATAAAAGAAATAGAGAAGCTAGGCTATGGTGGCGCGCACCTTTAAACCCAGCACTCCAGAGGCAGAGGCAGGCAGATTATCACAGAGAAACCCTGTCTCAGAGAAAAAAATAAATAAATAAAATAAAATAATAGAGTAATAAAAAAGCCACATAAAGATTAAAAGAATACAAATAGGGTCTGGATACTGTATGATATCGTGCTGTCTTTGAATTATTTAATTGCTGTGGAAGGAGCAACAAATGCTAAAAGACAATTGATTATCAATGCTGCTGAATTAATCCAACATATATATTTTTAAAATGCTTTGACTTCTAAATTTAAGTATAAGGACAGGTTACTTGGGAAAAGAGTTTTTGCTTGTGTTTCCACAGAAAATGAAACGCTATAGATTCCTTCCAAACTTCTATGGTTTGATGACGCAAGACCCCCTGAAACAGTGTCCCAGGCAATCCAGCATCTAAAACAGCTGAGAGGATACAGCTGTGCAGACTAAAAAGCAAGGACTTAGCCAGGTTTCTCTGTTTTGTCATGACCCCCATGGTATGGACATCACCCCCAAAAGCAGTTTCAATGAACGCCCAAGTTCCCAAATATTGTTTATAAATTTTTGTTTTCATTTAAATGGGATTGGTTATAATGGTTAATGATCACAACCAATCTCTTTTTAAAGGTAAAAGGGAGATTATGGCATAAAAATGAATAATTTGTATTGGTAAGGATTTTCATTTATTGATACAAATTTAAGATCAATTTTGTGATATATATTTCTCTTCTTGTTTAGATATTGTGTTTGTATAACTCATTTAAAAATGTAACGTATATTTAAATACAGATTATAGATAGTTACCTATAATAGTAAAAACTTATAGTTAGGTTAGTCAGGTTTTCTAGATATACAGAGATGTAGTTGAGATGGATAGATATTCTTCAAACCTTTCAAAGACCTACAGAATATATGGCATTTTAAATGGCTTAGGGTTTTTCATGATAGTGAGACATAACTTCTCCTAGCACACCAATTACGTCCAAGAGGAAGATAGGCATCGAAGAAACTTGTTATGGAGTTTGCTTTCAACATGGCAAGATTAGCCATTTGGGCAAGACACTGCTCTTGTCTTTACTGTTTGAAAGACTGGACATGCAGAACCCACAGGAAAGTGACTGCTAAACTTGATGGGACAGTCTAAAGGATTCCTGCTTCACGGAAGATTCTGCCAGATATTCTACAGGACACACACACAAAAAAATGACTGACAAAGTGCCAATGCAGGCAGTTTAAAATTTCCTGCTTTGATGAGAAGTCTGCCAGACACACTGTCCTACAGGCTGAAGATGGATGCCCCAACGTTACAGAGGAACTGCGGATGACTGTCCAGGTAGTGAGATGTCTCTGTCAATTCTAGTGTTTATATATTATCCTTCTGTGGTCTTTGATGGAGTTGAAGACAGATAGTTACAATTATAGTTTTCCTTAGTTATGATAAAAGATAAGCTACATATAAGACTTTAGACTCACACAGAAAGATGATAGAATATTTTCTTTAAATCTTGCTAAAAATTAATGGACGAAATGTGGTAACTATAGTTCTTACTTGATAACTGTTTTATTATATATTGCTAAAAATTAATGGACGAAATGTGGTAACTATAGTTCTTACTTGATAACTGTTTTATTATATATTTTACTATGTCAAAGTTAAAACCCTTCTTTTATTTAGACAGAAAAGAGGAGATGATGGGGAAGTCCTTCTGTGTATAGGATTGTCTTATTGGTTGATGAATAAAACACTGTTGGCCAATAGAGAAGCAAGATAGGTGGGACTAGGAGTCAAGGAGGATTCTGGGAAATGTAGCCAAGAAGTAGATCACCATGTGATAGCGGGAGGACGAATGAGCTTGGCATTCTTGGTAAGATAAGAATTATAGAAATATATATTAGTAGTCATGGGTTAATACTTAAGATAGAACTAGCCAATGATAAGCCCTAGACATTGGCCAACAGCATTGTAACAAATAGAGTCTCTGTGTGTTATTTGGGGTTGACACAGCTCTGGGACCAGGCTGGCAAGAAGAATGCTCATTACAACAAGGAACTCTGAGATGTGACCCAGCAGCAGAACAACCTAACTACCAATAAATCACTTTAGAAGTAAGTCTTTTGAGCAGAATTAGGTCTCTGGTTGTTTTATCCAACATAATGTTTGTATTGATTATTTGAGAATCTCATATAATGCACCCTGATCATACTCACTTCCCAATCCTCCCAGGTCCACCCCCTCATCTTTGTGACTCCCCTTCCTCCAAAAGGAGGGGGAGAAGGAGGATGAGAAAGGGGGGAGGAGGAGGAGGAGGAGGAGGAGGAGGAGGAGGAGGAGGAGGAGGAGAAGAAGAAGAAGAAGAAGAAGAAGAAGAAGAAGAAGAAGAAGAAGAAGAAGAAGAAGAAGAAGAAGAAGAAGAAGAAGAAGAAGAAGAAGAAGAAATATATACTAAGTCCAATTTGTGCTGTCCATATACTCCCTGGATCACAGTCAAATGGTCAAATTCCCAGTGGCCAGCCCCTTAAAGAAAACTGGATTCCAGTATTCTTAACTAAAACACAAGAATAATTACACCAAGTCCATAAATGTCAGTTTAGAGTAAAGAACCTGGTACACAAGTGCTTACCCGAAGTCTTCATATTCCCTTGTCCTCATCTACTCCTTTTCCCCTTTGCCTGACCCATCAGCCAGTGCTGTGCCCATGAGTTCACTCTGGAGGCTACCTCTCCTGCTGCTTGTGCATGAACTGATCCAGTGCAGGCTGAACTTGAAAATCGGCAACACTCACACAGTGCCCATATACAGACTCTTAAATGGAAGGAAAACTACAAATCTGAATACTACAAAGCAACATGGTAATCTTCAAAGAGGAAGGACAATGATTTTTGGGTACAGAGTTTCAGTGTGAGAATATAAAATCATTTGGTAGATGAGTAGAGTTGATGGTCATGTATTTTTTAGTTTCTCAAGACAGGGTTTCTCTGTGGAACCACCCTGGCTGTCCTGGAACTTGCTCATGTAAACCAGGCTGGCCTCAAACTCACTAAGATCCACCTGCCTCTGCCTCCCAAGAGCTGAGATTAAAGGCATGTCCCACCACCTCCAGGCTCAACAATAGAATTTATACCAGGAATTTTTTTACCATAATAAAAACTTCAAAGCATCTATTAACTATTGCAAGCTTAAATGATTGGTCACCATTATATAAAAGAGTATGTGTAAGATAAAGTAGGACAAAGCATATTCTAGCACTCTAGGGGCTGAGGCAGAACAACATCAAATTCAAGGCTAGCCAGGGCTATACTATGAGATCTTGTTTTATTTCAAAATAAAAATAAAGAGCTGAGGGAGATTACTATCTAGCATGTGAGGTCCTGGGTTTGACCCCAGTAAAACACAAGTGCACAACCACACATGCCCACATACACAAACATATACACCACAGGAGGGGAGGGAAGATAGAGAAAAAGAGACACAAACACAAACACACACAAATTATCTTCCAAAACACGAATGCACAAATGGTACACCTAACCCACTAACACAAAGCTCACACTGTACCTACAGTCCATGAACTGCCACTGCTAATATTACTATAAAATTATGGGGGCAGCTGTACCTCAAGAGCTGTACACAGAACAGAGTGAAATAAGACATGTGTCCTGTGTGCTTAGCAGCTAGAAAGACAAGAATGTGGTATTTTCTTAAATCTTGGGAAATTTCCTGGGAAAGGGACAAAATATAAAGATTTTGATAATAAAACTAGAATAGACAGGCACAATGAGAAATGTTTATGTAAGTAAGGCCACATTATGCTGATACGCCATCCTGAATAATACAAGCTTGTAAATGCTGGCCTTATAGCCTCGAGCACTCCTTAATCTAGCATGAAAATGAGACATTATGTTTGTAATTTTTACACAGCAGGAATGCTTAGTGGTCAGGGGCCCTAGGGTAAACTGGAGAGATAAGAATCCACACTATGGGAAGGCAGTGACTGCTTGTGGAAAGGAGTTCAACTGGCAAGAATCTGAGAGATGCCAACTAATTTAAAACTTGAGCAAGGATTGGGCTTCGTGGAAATGGTTAGACTGTTCAGAACCCGTTCTCACTTTCTGACCCCCAACTTTGCTTCTCTTCCTAGGGTGCTGTCAAGAGCTCTGGTCTCTAGTTTCCTCAGTGTCCTAGAATCAGAAGACATGGAGTCTGCATTGATGATTGGAGCAATCCCTGTGCTGTACTCACTGGCAGGTGACCAATCTAGCTACTATGCTGGGCGGACACTGTGGTTAGGAATAATCTCAGTATACAGCATGGTGGTATATGTGGTCCGGCTGCCATGGCAACACATATCTGAAGATTTCAAGTGCCATGAAAATATCGCCTACTCTTGTATTATGGAGTGCTTTGAACAACTGTTTACCATTCCCGTTTCAGAAATGTGGAGCTACTTCTACTTCATCTTCATAACCTTGTTCTTCCTCATGGAATTCTTCATGGCTCAGATTCGGCATAAGCACACCAAGGTACAGGAGAAGTCCATGCAGGAAACAGACAACACTGAGGAAATGGAGAAGGGTATCATGGAGGCAATCAGGAAGCAGAGCCCCTCCCAGAAGACATCCTTCCAGAACTTCCACAAGGAAAGGGAACTGTTATATTTGAATCTGCTCCACTTCCTCCTGCAGGTCAGCATCCAGACTGTGTCTTTTTGCATGCTCACATTCAAACACCTGCCCATGATAAGCCAAAACAGCTTTTATTGTAGCACTAATGACTGCCCTGGCCCCTATCACTGCCTCATCTGGGAAGCCTTCGAGAAGCAGCTGTCCATCTATACCCTCAGCGCTTTTTCTGTCATAATCATCCTCCTAGGCACAGGCTCCTTTGTATATAGCATCTACCATCACTTGCTGATGGCCCGGTCAGTTTCCAAGGTCAGGATTTCTTGACATTTATGAGAAACAACACTTTTCCTTACTTTAAAGTCTTTTCTACCCCATACCAGATAATTTGGACTCTTCCAAATTTCATTTGGGGCAGGGCTCCTCTTGCTAACCTTCTTTGGATTTTGATTTGAAAACAATAAAAGTTTGCTGTTCTCCCTTTTCTGTTCTAAGACCAAGCTGGGATAATCTAATTCTGAAAAGATAACCAAAACAAACCATGCCTAACAACTGACTATCAGGCATTAGTACACAAAATTAGTACACACTCATTTCCTTGACGTTGTTACCTATAAGGTGACATCCTCACTTTTACCTGAGGCCTAGGAAGATAGGTGGCTAGTAAAGACCACCTTCAGACAGCAAGGGAAGCCAGTTTTACACTTAGGTCTCTCATCGCCCCACTGTGCTCTCCCCTCGAGTCATTTGCAATGTAGCTGAGAAGCAAAGCTTGTTTTTACTGTGAATTCTGCTGAAGAGAGCAGCAGGAAAAAAGTGATGGCACTGTGCAAGAATGTGGGGACACCCTTCTAAGGTCAGTTGTATATTCTTGCTCTCTGGTCAGACACAAAAGATCCAGAAAGCTAAATGCTAGTAAGGAGTACATAACCTGAAAGAGACCATCTGGGAAAAGCACCAAGGTGCAGGGTGAGCAGGGCATGTTGGACAAGATTTCTCATCAACTTTCAAGTCATATTCCATAACAGACAAGGCTGGCTCTACAGGGTGAACACTGCTTTCATATTCCTTAAAAGAGCAGGCCTACAGAGTGTACTTCGGGGGACCAGAGTGAAAGGAGCAGGGAAAGAGTAGAAGCAAGAAAATGGTCAGAAGAGACATTGGAATGAAACATATTCCCTTGCTAATACACCCTTTGGTTTAAGGGAGGATATGTTATTATGCCATACAAAGTTGCCTTGTGGTGATTTGCTCACAATGACAAACCCATTCCCTCATCATACTGGGCTCTTAATGTGGGCCAAGTAATGGCGCATGGATAATGTTGATGATCTGAAGAAGCAAACACTAGGGCAGGGGTTCTCAACCTTCCTAATGCTGCAACCCTTTAATAAAGTTCCTTATGTTGTGTTGACCCCAATCATAAAATCATTTCATTGCTACTTCATTGCTGTAATTTTGCTACTAATATGAATTGTAAGGTAAGTATCTATTATGCAGGATATCTGATATGTGACGTCCAAAGGCTGAGATCCACAGGTTGAGAACTACTGCACTAGAGGAAGAAGGCAATAAATATCAATAGAAAAAGAGGCAAAAGTGTATCCCCAAATTCACAAGCTGCCTAGCCCCAGAATAAGGTCAGAGGCATCTTCTTCAGGAAAGGGTCTCTTTCAATCAATATCCAGACTAAAACAAACAAACAAACATGTAGGAATTAAATCTATGTGAACTTGCTTGAGAGGTGGCTCAGAAGTTAAGAGCATTGGCTGCTCTTCCAGAAGAACTAGGTTCAATTTCCAGCACAAACATGGTGGATCACAACAATTTGTAACTCCAGTTCCAGGAGGTCTTCTGGCATCTGTAGGCACTGTACATGCAGTGCCCAGACATACATGCAGGCAAAACATATCAAAATAAAAATTTACACACAGAGAGATACATATGGACATTCTAAAAATAAAGAGACTGCTTTTGGATATACATATATATATATATATATATATCATATGATATATTATTTATGTGTGTGCTGGTACACAAGACCAGAGAAGGACATCAGGCATCCTGCTCTATCACTCGTCTTACTCCCTTGTACATGGCCTCTCATTGGATCTGGGGTTACTATTTTAGCTACACTGGCTGGGCAGCAAGCCCTATTCCCTGTGACCTTCCTGTCTCCATCTCCACAATGATGAGTTCTATGTGCACATATGGCTACACCTGATTTTTTTTTCCCCTACTGTGGATTGAGCTCAGGTCCTCACACTTACCCACTGAGTCATTTCCTGGGAACTGATAGAAGTAATTAAAACAGTACTGATATTGCTTATTATTCAAAAGTGATTCAGTACAGACAAGCCCCAATTATAGGATGGCCCCATATTGCTTCTACTTCTAGCCATTTCAATTATAATTTTTGTTATTGTCTGGTTTACTGTTTTGTTTGCTGGTTAGCCATTTGTAGTTTTGCTTAAGGGTCTCTTCTTTTTTCCCTGAGACAGGATTTCTCTGTGTCTTTGGAGGCTGTCCTGGCACTAGCTCTTGTAGACTAGGCTGGTCTCGAACTCACAGAAATGCACCTGCCTCTGCCTCCCGAGTGCTGGAATTAAAGGCCTGCGTCACCCCCTCCCTCCCAGCTTGTTTAAGGATCTTTTGATACTATGTTCTCTATGTAGCCTAGCTGGCATGGCACTCCCACTCCTCTTGCCTCAGCCAGTGCTGGGTTTATAAGCATGTATCAGCATGTCCTACTTCCATGCTTAAACAAGACAAAAACAACAATAAAAAGACACACGCACTTTACATTTGTTCAGTTTGTTTCTATTTATTTGGAGGAGGGATCTGGCTAAAACACTACAACATAAATATCAATCTGAACTTCAGAAATAATCTCTTTGGGTTCCAAGTTCTGTCTCTCTATAGTTTTTTTTCTCTTTTCTTAGTTTTATTTCATTTTGTTTCTTTAAAATAGTATATTTTGTGATATCTACAACAGTCAGTTGAGATTAAGTAAGAGTCTGCATCTTTATGCAGTAATGAGTCCTTACCTCAACTTCCAGTGTCAGGACAGACTCTAGAAAGTGAATGACTCAAGAATATAGTGTATGTTCTAGATTCCATGTCATTCAAGAGGAGCCTTGGCACTTTCCTAGAGAAAAGATAGCTAGCTTGTGGCCTACCAATCATTCCTAATTCCTCTCTTTTTGCAAGCAATAATAAATTATATAGTACTTTCAATTCATTTCATGTGGGTTTCAGAGTATCTATACTGGTTCTTCTGAGAGGTTCATACATAATGTTCTCTCTCAGGGACAGCACTATCTTTCTAGAGAAGACAGCACTAATAAATGCATAACCATTAGATGTAGAATTGTACCTTGATGAGCCAGGAGGGCTGAGTAGTGACTTTGATCCTGCCAGTTTTGTCTTGTTTTCCTACTGGTAAGATAAAAGGATTAGACTATCTGGAAGATGCTATAGAGATGCAGGGCAAGACCTAAGCCTAGGTCACCAGTCAAGTGATCTTCTGATCCAGCCCTTCCCTGGTCTTATGATGAAAGGCACAAAAACGTGAACAACAAAGATTCAAGGCGCCATGAGCAAAAGCAGTGTTCCTCTAGCTCTAATCCTCATTCTTTTTCTTGCCAGCTGTGAGCAGAGATAGAGGTCTACCTAGACTATAATTTTCTCTGTGCTTTTCTTGTCTCTGTCACCACAGGATATTGGTTTTACTTTAAGCTGAGACAAGGTAGCCAGAGTAGTTCTATGCATCATGCATGAACATGAGACTATCCAAGAGAAAGAGGGGGCCACCTTTCTTCTTGCTAGTCTTTTTCCATAGGAAAAGCATTCCCCACAGCCCCCTGCTCTTTCTCTCAAATCACGATGCATACTTAGTTACCAGAAACAAATAAAATGATTTCCTAAACAAAACAGAATCAACTCCAAGAGCAGCAATATTGGAACATAAACTGGGGAGATAGTAGAAAAAAATTAATTTCAATTAACACAGTGCTGTAAAGCAAAATATGACACACGGCACAGGAGACAATGGCCCAAGGTACTAGCAACACATGAGTATTTAGTGACTAAAAGGACAGGCAAAACCAATTCTACTAAAATTGATTTCTATCATTTTTCCCTCAGCATTAAACATCAGAAAAGTCTGTTCATTATGAATCCATATGAAAATTCATGCCAAGTGTAGAGGATACAACTTCAGTTACAATATTCAGTTATGTAGTTATGCTGGTAATTTTTTTCTAATGTGACACAAACTAGAGTTATCTGGAAAGAGAGAATGTCGACTGAAGAATTGCCTCCATCAGCTCTGCATGTAGACATGTTTGTGGGGGCACTTTCTTGATTAATGATTGATATGTGAGAACTCAGCACACTATGGGCTAGGGCCAGCCCCACACAGGTGGTCCTGGATTGTACACAAATGGAAACTGGGTGAACCACCCAAAAGTGAGCCAGTAAGTAGTGCTCCTCCATGACCTCTGCTTTGGTTTCTGCCTCCAGATTTCTGCTTGAGTGCCTGCCCTGGCTTCCCTCAATGATGAACTGATCCACCAAAGTACAGATTAAAGTAAGTGTATACACACAAACATGCTGTGGAAGGGGAGACATGCAAAGATCAAGATAAATGAAAATGCACACAATCTACATTCTTGGAAGGTCTGATAATTTTGAAATCTAGATTTAAAGAATCTTATCAAAGGGGCTGGAGTGATGACTCAGTGGCTAAAAACAATGGCTGCTCTTCCAGAAGACCCAGCTTAGATTCCCAGCACTCACATGGTGGCTCAAAATCATTTGTAACTCAGATTTCAGGGGATCCAACAACCTCTTGTAACCTCCAAAGGCACCAGGCATGCATGTGGTGCACACACATACATGTAGACAAAACACTCATGTACATAAAAAATACATAAATAATCAAGAACTATAGAATATACAGAGACTTAATAACAAACTAAAGAGATATACAGGCAAGAATGAGACCCTATTATTTGCATTCTTGGTTCACTGAAGGAATCAAGTATATAGAATAGGAGAAACTTAAAAGGAAAATATCAAGCCTACTATTAACTCCCAAAATTTAAATCTTAGTAAACAATTTAAAGGTGATGTCTGCTACTCCCTAGCTTTGAAGAAAATGAAAATAAATTATTCCTAAATCAGCAGGGCGGTGGTGGCGCATGCCTTTAATCTCAGCATTCGGGAGGCAAAGGCAGGTGGATCTCTGTGAGTTCGAGACCAAGCCTGGTCTACTGAGCGAGTTCCAGGTCAGGCTCCAAAACAATACAGAGAAACCCTGTTTTGAAAAACAAACAAACAAACAAAAATATTCCTAAATCAAGTTTCTAGAGATCTATGTAAATTAGTGACTTCATCCAGTCACTATTAATCTTTGTAGGTGTCAAGAAGAATATGAAGTTCTACTAGAAAAGGGGTTTATGTGTGCCTGTAACATTAAGTTAACTAGACCATTTAAATGGAGATGGTAATAATAGACAATATACTTGGTCTTCAGTATAAAAGACAAAACATATTCCAAGACAACTATCTATCAGGCAGGATCTGTTCAAATACAACCCACTGTGAAGATTTCAAAATTCAAACCTGATAGGAATCACCTATGAGTCTCATACATTATTATCACCATCATGTCCCTCCTAATTTGTGAACTGATATAATCAAATCATTTGCTTTCCAGCACTCTAAATTATACATTCTAAAAACCCACAGCCCAGAAGAGCCATCAGTTCAGCAACAGAGCTCTAAGCCTAGAGTAAGATATCAACTTCTTATACTTGAGGATCATTCACTTGTTATACAGAGCAATGATAAAACAAGGATCTCTTTATACTCTCTTGAATATCTAGGAGAGATAGCCCCTATCCAATGATATTTTCTCTTGTCAGTGGTGCTCACTGTATCTCCATTTTATGGCATCTTTTAGGGACCCTAACAAAAAAATGTACACTGACTTAGAACAATAAGCAGATAATAAAGTACTAAAAAGCACTGAAAAACCTAATTCAGGGGTAGATGAAAACACCATTTCATCAAAAATTTTAAAACCATACCTTAATTTTTCTGCCCCAGTGATTCTCACTTAACTTCCCTTCTCTTACCTCTCTAACTCAGCTATTTTCTTATCTTTGTCGTTCTTCTCATTTTCCACTTCTTTCAAGATTTCCAAGAGGCGGTCAACTTCTGTCTGGGCCTTGCTGGATTCATCTTTGTACCTGGAAATCTCTCTCTCCAAGTGCTGTATTCGGTCACTCATCTCTGGACTGGCTCTGGCTTCCAATGTTGCTTCATGAGCCTACCAAAAAAAATTTTTTTTCAAATTCTCATTTTCCAAGTCTAGCCAATACAGGTATAGTGGCAGTTAGCAAACCACCCCCAAAGAACTATTTATATTTCAGTGTAAATAGAGTGCTATCAACTATTTAAATGGCTAATCTTCAATTTCTAATGGCCTTTCTCTGCTTAAGGATTACATAAGGAAAAGATTATTAATAAACAGAAAATTATTTTAGTTTACAAATTGATTTCTTTTAAAAAACTATTTTATCTTTGAGTATTTATTATGAGGTCAAAACTCATCATAACCAATTGATGCTTCAGAGTTGAATGAGATTAATGAAGACAGCATTGGAGGGCTATAAATTCTGATCATATTCCTGTATATCAATGCTGAGACTTAGCTCCTTGGGCTTAACCAAATTTCCTTCTCCTATATGTGGCTTTGCCAAATGTATAAATTGTATGGCCTACAACATTTAGAATCATACAGATACAATTGTATGCTGTGCAAATGGAACTGGATTAAGAAAATAGCTGCTCTCAACTGGGCACAATTCCAGCACCTGGGAGGCAGAGGCAGGTAGATCTCTGTAAGTTCAAAGTCAGTGTGGTCCACATAGTGAGTTCTAGGACAGCCAGAATTACATAGTGAGACAGAGACAGAAAGAGACGGAGAAAGAGAGAGAGAGAGAGAGAGAGAGGCTACTCTTAAGTATATTTTGCTCAAGTAAAAGTTCAGAATTTTACAAGATGACCTGGGACTGACAAATGAAGTTAGGAAGCAAGACCTACTCTAAGAACTAAGAAAAGGCATATTGTTCAGGTTTCTGTTGTAAAAGGCACCCAATAAAGGCAATACATTTTAAAGAATACTTGAAATATCTTAATTGACAATTAATTTTCAAATTACTCATTGCATTAATTTTCATTGTTATTTTAACAGAATACTGGAAAAAATTAAAGGAAAGCAGAATTGTATTGGCTTGTGGTTTAAGGGTAAAATCTATCACAAAGAAAGAATAGCTGTTGGGGTTCCATCGATGGTGCTTGGAGCAGGAAGTATACAGCATGACCTGGGACATGTTGGGGGCAGATGGGAAGCAGAGAGCTCAGTTACAAGCATAACCTGGCTAAAACCTAAAAACCCAGACTTCACTTCCAAAAGGTCCTGTAACTGCCAAAACAATACCAGCATCTGAGGATCAAGTTTCAAATGGCTCACAGCAAACCAAAATATTCCTTCTCCCAAATTTCTAAAGCCACATGTATATAAGGATAAAGACTAAGACATTGCATTTTTTCTTATTCAATAAGCAGAAAAATATATTACATCTCAAATTATTTCAAAAATATTAAAGGAGGAGAATTCTTCAGAAAATACTTTAGGAAAACATGACACAAAGTAGCATAAATAAATGAGAAAAGTTTGTATAAATTAAGTTAAATCTTTTATGAAAGTATTATCTATAATTTTGAGAGTGAGTGTGACACCAAGTTCATTTGTTTAAGTTTCCATTTCCAGTGGCGGGCAAAAATTTACTCTCTTCAACACTTACTACCCTAACCCTTTACTTGAGAAGTAACTATTCAAGGTTAGAAAACAAACAGAGACCACTGTTCTTCAACTGTCTGAATTATTTTGTTTCTCATCGTTTTGTCAGTTTTGGAGTTGAAACAGGAGGGGAATTCCTGTGTTGATCATTCTCTCATGGATAGGAGAAAATCAGTGACTCCTAATACAGTGTCTAACAGCAAGGAAGAGATCATGAAGTATTTCACAGAATGTTCACCATATGTATAAATCAAGAGGAAGTCAAAGAGAAACTGAAGACTCAAACATGAGCAGGAATAAATAGACATCCCCACTACACACTCACACACACACACACAGAGAGAGAGAGAGAGAGAGAGAGAGAGAGAGAGAGAGAGAGAGAGAGAGAGAGAGAGAGAGAGAGAGAGAGAGAGAGAGAGAGAGAGAGAGAGAGAGAGAGAGAGAGAGAGAGAGAGAGAGAGAGAGAGAGAGAGAGAGAGAGAGAGAGAGAGAGAGAATAGGAAATAGGAAACAGAAAGAGGTTTGGGGTAGGAGCAACAAAAAGACAAATAAACAAGTATCAACGACAGCTTCGAATCAATGCCATGGAAATAAATCTATAGAGTTAATTATAAGTAATGCTTATGCTATAAATGTGAAAGTATAAATACTAGTGGCCTAGGGTTCATACATTTGAGGGCATCTAACTTTGAGGTCACCAATTAGTTAAATGTCACTTCCATGGAGGGGTCTTATATACCCTAGACCCTGTTATTTACTGTACTTTGCTGGCTACCGTAACTTTTTAAAAATCATATAAACTCAAAAAGAGTGAGATTTATCAAGTCAGTGTTACAAACATTTATTTAAAACAGCTTTACAGCTGAGCATGGTAGCATATATCCCAGTGCTTGAGAGGCAGAAGTAGGTAGAACGTTGAGAGTTCCAATCCAACCTGATCTACATAGCAAATTGTAGGACAGTAAGGGCTATATAATGGGATTATGTCTAAAAATAAGTGAATTAATTAGTTAACTTTGCAAATAGACTAGAATATTTAATTCAGGGTGTAAACCTCAGGCATGAAAACACACATTTGTAATCCCAACACTATGAAGGCAGAGGTACAGGTAAAGAGACAAGTTACTGGCCAGCAAAGGATACAGAGATTCCCCCCCTATCTCAATAAATAAAACAACAAAAGGAAATAAACAAACACAAAAAACTGTGAACAAAGAGAAATCATCTCAATAGATAAAGAATAGTCTTCTGATCCAACATCCCTATAATAAAAACTCCTCCTTGATAGACTAGGCATGGGAAGTACCTATCTTAACATAGTATGAGCTATTACATATGACTAATGTAAACAACATGATCCTACATGGAGAAAAACTCAAAATATTCTTGCTAAAAATAAGGAATAAAACAAGGGTGTTCACTCTGTATTACAATTCAACATAGTACTAAGTCCTAGAAATAGCAGTAAGACAAAAGAAAGATGTAATGCCAATACAAAGAAATCAAACTGGAACTGAGCTGGAAGTGTCCTCTCTGCTAGCCAGCTTTCATAGTATAAGAGTGCACTGCAGGCTAGTAAGACATAAAAAGGCATCAATAGTATTATCCGGCTGAGAACCCTATGAACTGCAATACAAACTTTCCAGGCAATGCCCCTGGTGCAATAGTGGCACTATTGCTTTGGTGGAAACCAAGCACTCTCTGATTAGTTTTGAAGCCCACTTCATGAAAAGTATTTCATGCCTGATGCTATAAACACAGCTAAAGAACCCAGGGATAACTAGGAATGTCTTATACCCAAGGTGTAACTTAATACTGTTGTTTAGCTAATTTGACATAATACCAAGCTGCCTTCTAAAAACTTCTAATTATATTCACATATAAATATTACTCTGTCTTTTTTTTGGGGGGGGGACAGGGTTTCTTTGTGTAACAGCTCTGGTTGACCCAGAACTCCCTTTCTACACAAAGATGACATTGAACTCTCAGTCTTAATCAAAGAAACTTCTCTTTGAGACAAAAGGCGGAAAAATGCAAAAGACTCATTCATGGTTGCTCAAGATACTAAGAAAAAAGTGATGGTTGAGTGCTCAACCCTCAAGGGGACACTCATACCACCTCCTCTCACATTCAGGCAACATTACAGAAGAGCAAATGTGAAGAATGCAAGGGCTGGGACATACGGAGTAAAACTATAAAATGTTATCTTGTGGACATGATATAACCAATGCAATTATGATCTCTTTTGCAGTGGCTTCCAGCAGTTGGGCCTCCTTGAGATTAGCCTACTGTCAAGTCAATCATGGATTACGGAGGGGGCCTATGTGGCCCTGCCCCATCCTGATGAACTATGATCTACTGATGGATTCCAAGTGTTGGCCAACATTGTGATCAGCACTGATGAGATCAACATGTTCCAATGAATAATACAAAACCATGATCATACAGCCCAGTGTGCTGCTTTGTTTTCTATCAGCTTGACACAAGTTAGAATCATCTGGGAAGAAAGAATCTCAATTGAGAAATTGCCTTCATAAGACTACCTGTAGTCTGTGGGGTGTTTACTTAACTAAGTATTGATGTGACAGGGCTCAGCCCATGTGGGCAATGTCACCCCTTGGCAGATGGTCCTCAGCTGTATAGTAAACTATGGAGATTAACCATGCTTCCATGGTCTCTTCATCAGTTCCTGCCTCAATTCTTGCCCTCATTTCCCTTCATGATGGACCATAAGCAATAAGAAATAAAACCTTACCTCTTCCTGTTGCTTGTGGTCAAGGGGTTTATCACAGAAATGGAAAGTAAACTAAGCCATCAGCTCTAAACACAGTGTGTTAAAACAAAACAAAAAATTCATGTGAGAAAGGGACATAGGGATGGAAAGGAGAGAGAAGGTGACATTAATCAATATGTACAGTATATGAGAATGTCAAAATAACTAGAAAGAAAATACACAGACTAAGCACAGACTTCAAAGAAGATTCTAGTGAAAGGCCAGGATGTTAATGCACTTGCAAAATCCTAGACTAAACTGGGATGAATAGAAGCTATAGCATGGTAAAAGCAAAAGGAAAGAGATAAACAAAGAGCAGTCTGCAGGAATCTTCCATAAGCTGTCTCTCAGAGATGAAAGTCTTCCTCCTCCCAAACTCATGAGTTGAAGGCTTGATTTGCCAATGAGATATTCAGAACTAGGGTGATTGGGAAGTGAGTGGGTATGTCAGGAAGGCTCTGACCTAATCTGTGGGTTAATCATAGTATCATAATGTGATAGCATTACTGAGAGACTGACACTCAGGATCTCAGTAGAGGAAGCAGGCCACCAGGGACATGACCTTAAAGGAACACTGTCCTCACTCCTCTCTGCTTTTCTGGTGATTGTGATGTTGTGCGTCACTAAAAACTAAAGGCAATGGGATGATCCAACCATGGACTATAACTTCTCAAACTGTAAATCCAAATAAATCTTTCCTACTTTTATGTTGTGTATCTTAAGGTGTTTGGTCACAGCTACAAAACCAAACATAACTCTAACCACTAAAAAAATGAAAATAACTGTAAAATTTGTATTGTTACTTCGATCCTTGGGAGGGAGGGAGGGAGGGAGGGAGGGAGGGAGGGAGGGAGGGAGGGAGGGAGGGAGGGAGGGAGGGAGGGAGGGAGGAAGGAAGGGAATCCTTAAGTAAAGAAAAGTGAGAATAGGAACTCCCTCTTGGACCTTCTTCAGCTGTGATTCCATTTTCAGGCACTCTTCCTTCTTTTGCTCAAGAGCAATTTCTAGTGTCTTGAGCCGTGAGTCCTTTTTCAGTCCTGAGGAAGCCAGGGAAGAAGCATGCTCTTTGAGATCCAGAAGAGAAGCCTAAAAGCAGCAAGACATATTTAGATAAATACAGTGAAATAAAATGTAGATTTAATTTTTCAAATTTTTATTCATAGTGTCTGGAAGTTTCCATTTCAAGAACATCCATGAAGTATAAAATGGTATTAGCTTTAGCTTCCAGATGTTAATTAAAATAAGCTTGATCCTCAGGACTAAATGAGCACTGACGTACAGAGTCAAAAAATGACTGGGGTTACAGATCAGGTAAAAAGCTTTCCTGTCATGCATCAAGCCCTAGGTTAAATTTCCAGTAACACATAAATCAGACACAGAACACATTTATAATTTCAGTACTCTGGAGATGAAGGCAAGAGGATCAGAATTTGAAGGCCAGCCTGAGATAGAGAGGACCCTGTCTCAAAACAGACAAGTTCTAACCTAATGTACTTATTCTCACAAAATAAAAGGAACTGTCTTTCAGTAGCCAAACTTAGTAACTACATTAACTTGAATGTGGATTTTTCCCCTCTTTTAGCAGGAAGTTCTTACAGAACTTACTTCTAGAAATTTTCCTAAAGTTATTAGACAAACCTACTGGATCACTCATTGCATAGCATTCAACTTTTTAGCTAAGTTATACTAACAGGATTATTAAAAAATAAGATCAAAATTCATGAAATCACATACATTATAGTTGATTATGTTTCTAATAGTGGTTATAATTACATTTCCTCCTTTTTTGTGTCACTTTTCTTACTGTTAGCAGTGTTTCTCCTCCATAAATAACTAGGCTGCAGTTACTCTAGGATCTGCAAAAGTATCAGTATCACATAAGAAACCAACTCTTAGACCAAAGAACAAGGTAGTAAAGGACTAAGAAGTGATGAGCAATCTACTGTAGCCATCACAGCTTTCTGAGCATCTAGAAAGCCTACCACAGAAGACTGCACAATGCAGACAGCAGCAGATACATGCAATGCAATAAATAAGCGAACCGAGTAACTCCTTTTGGTAATCCTAACCTCCTTCTCTGAGAGGTCTCCTTGCAGTAGACTGACTTTTTCTTTCAAGTCTTTAAGATCTTTTTTGTAGGTGTCAATCTCCTCTTGCTTCTCTCGCTCATCTCTGTCCCGCTGCTCCTTTAAGCGTTCAATTGTTCGTTCCTAAAAGGAAAGCACACCAAGTAATGAGCAAACTCCCATTTGAACTTATATCACAGAACATACTCTGCTTCCTCTGACCCAACTCAACATTTCTATCATCTATTAAAAAGACAATGATAAGCTCTTCAAGAATTCACTTTGCAAAGAATCCATTTTTCCTATTGTAACCAATAAATGTCCAACTTTGTTTTTAAATTCCAACAGTAGTTTCCTATCATTTCAAATGTTATTAGAGATCACTAAAGAATTCTCTTGAAATATTGCCATTTAAACTCATTTTTCAAGTAACAAAAAAGTTATGTGGATGCCCTTAGGAGAATAAGTAACATATTTCTTCACCATAATGATACTGACATACACTACCCAAAAAGCAATAGAAATTACTCATAACTCATATATCAAAAGGGGAGGGAAGCTATGATACAATAATCTAACATAAAAGAGGGCAAAATACTTGATAGAAAAATTGAAAATTCTGCTACCAGGTGTTCAAGAAGTGTGAAGGCTAGAGAAATGTATTATATTTCTGGGTAATATTTCTAAACATACTGACAGAACATGCCTTCATTCTGGCAACATATCAAAGCATTTTGAGTCCAAAAGACCTAAGGAATGTTGCCTTATGCCTCTAAAAAGAATCCAGTTAAATATCTCAAGGAAAGTATGGTACAATGGGATAATCCTTTAATCCCAACACTTAGGAATTAGAGATAGGAGGAACAAGTGTTAAAGACCACCCTGAGTGTTAACGGTTATTCTTAGTTGTCAACTGGACTACATCTAGAATTAACTAAAACCCAAATGACTGGGCACTCCGGTGAGGGATTTTTTTATTTCTTAAGACCCACTTCTAATCCAGATCTTTGAGGTAAGAAAATGCACCATTAATCCAGCCTTTTGAGGTGAGTTAATCTGGGCCATACCTTCTACTGGTAGCCTATGTAAAGGACATGAAAGGAGGCTAGCTCTCTCTTTCCTGCTTGCTTTCACTCTCACTAGCAAGTCCATCATCATCATCATCATTATTATTTCTCCTCCTCTTCCTCTTCCTCTTCCTCCTCCTCCTTCTTTTTCTTCTTCTTCTTCCCTTCCTCCGTCCTCCTTCTCCTTCTTCTTTTTCTGGATTCTGGCATATACTAAAGAGTAGCTGAGACATCCAGAATTGTTAACTAACAAACTACTGAACTCTTAAACCTTCAGTTGATAGACAGCCATTATTGAAAGAGCTGGACCACAGCCTGCAAACCATTCTAATAAATCCCCATTGGATGGACGGATGGACGTACAGATGAATGGACAGATGGGCAGACGGATGATAAATTCATCCTATAAGTTCTGTTCTTCTAAAGAACCTTAACTAATACACTGAGCTACACTGTAAGCCTGAGGCCAGCCTAAGCCACATGAGACTTCCATCACAAAACAAGCCCCCTTCTAAAAAACAAACAAACAAACAAACAAAAACCAACAACAACAAGAAACAAAAACATTCTCTAAAATACATTCTAAGATGGTTTAGGCCACTTCTTCATTCAAACATTCCTTAAAAAAATCAAGTGTACTCACAAAGGTAAAATAAACTAATGAAAACCAGTACTCAGTGATTAAGAGTACTGACTGCTCTTCCAGAGGACTCATGTTCAATTCCCAGCATCAATGGTTTATAACTACAGTACCAGGAAATCCAATGCCCTCTTCTGGCCTCTGTGGACACAAGCCATATGTGATACAGACATTGATATCAACAAAATATCTATATACATAAAAATAAATAAAATTTAAAATTATTTTAGGAATAAGCCAAACTAGAAAATAGTAAGTATGTAATATTCATGAATAAATTCCATGAATATGTCATGGGGTAGGAAGGTAACAGAGGAGAGCTAGTCTGAGATAGCATCCTGATAATCAATTGTCTAGTATCTGGTTCATCTTGTTAAATAATGAATTTTCTTTTAGTCCAGAAAGCAGCAAAACGGGGAACACATGCTGACTCTTTAGGAAATGTGGCTATGGTATTCTGGTGTGCAACCAATCTTGCCTAAATAGTCAATGCTAACATCTAACAGCAACTAGACTGTCTTTCTACTCTATACTATGCACAGCAACAGCAAAGCACTGTTTCTATGAAAGGATTTCTTCTGTATTTATAACCAATTTTAGAATAATGAGATATCAGAACTCAAAGGTCTGGGAAGAGTCAGGCCAATCACTCACTTTCTCTGCAAGAGCCTCCTCCAAGGTCGTTAGCGCTGTGTCTGTGTTGGTGGTGTCCGCCTGCAGAGACTTGACTCGCTCTTTCAAGCTGCTCATCTGTTTCTCTTTATCTCTCAGTTGTTCCTGGAGATTTTCAATCTGAATGTACATTTAAGGGGGAAAAGTCACTTTAAAAAGTGCACAAGAAGGTGCAATGACAATTATTTAAAGCATAAAAAATTATGGTTTTTGGGTGTGTTCTCTGTAAAATAATTTAAACTTTGTTTAAAAATTATATTCTAAAACCTTACAACAGTCAGAATTTTGCACCACCACAGAGAAAAGATAACTATCCTATGGACATACATTCAAAAAGGCAACTCCCTAACAAAAGAAATCAAAGTTTCTGTCTTGCAAAGCAGAAAGTCCCAATGTGCTGAATGGGACTGCAATGAATCCATATGAAATAGGATTACTTCTAAGATGTAATGCCCAGAGAGATATCTGCACAACAAACTGAGAGACAAAGAACACTGAAACTAAACAGAAAACCGGTAAAGGAAAAACTGTTCTTGAATGTTAGTGATTAGATTTTTAAATCATCTGTGGCCCTTCATTTCTTCACACTTAAATGTATTCATTTACTGGAAAGAATTACTGATTTCCTCTACCCAAGTACTAACCAGTCTGACCCTGCTTGGCTTAAAGATCAGACAAGACTGGGCACATTCAGTCATATGTCACTAGACAATTACCAATTTCCCTAGAGCAAGCCAGGCACTGACATACTAAGGAAAATAAAGAGGCCCACTTTTATTATCTGACATGAGAAGGGAGAAAAAGTGACCCATTATAAAGCTGAAGGTGAGCAACAGATGGACCTATTGACCTAAAGAATAGGCTGAATTTCAGAGAGATAGGAATGATAGATGATCTATTTAAGTATGCATTAAATTTATGCATGAGTAAAATTTTGTGATACTCAAATATACTGGAGTTTATTCTAAAGAGAAAAATCTAACACAGGTGAACTGAAATAGAAATATTTTAAGTTAGTTACTCTAGAAAGACTAATTCCTTAAAACAACCTCTCTCATCATGACACTATTGAGTTGGAAATACAACAGTATATTATACAAGGATGTTTTCTCCCTACCTGATTTTTGTAACAAAAAAAAAAAAAAAACTGGTACCAGAGGAAAAGAAAAAATAATGCAATATTACATGAAGAACACCAAATCTATATACCAATTATACACTGCCACAGATTTGCCAACATCTTTTATTCTGGTTTTATCAGCATTGCACAGTTGTCAGGAGCCATCACATTTCACTGAGTGGCTTATGAGTGCACATAAATCCACATAAGTCCAGTCAAGTGAAACTGAGTATTCTGCCTTGGAAGCCTTAATTCCTGCCAAGGAGAGCCTTCCTCAAAGTCTCCCAAAGTCTTCCCAAAGAAATCCCAAAGGACTTCCTGCAAACACCTGGACCACTGGAGCAGCTGCTTTGACAATACCTCCACAAGCTATTTTAAGCAGAATTAAATTTACTTTGATGAAGCCAGTCGATCAGAAAGGCCCTGGTCTTCATTTTCTGCAAATACTTTCCAATATTGATGGTAGAAGTAAAGTCTGGATGAACTGATCATAAACTTGCATAAAGAGAAACACAGTGAATTTTTCTTTCTTCGAGCAAAAGAACCCTAATTTCTATTACTCTACAGTTTATTAAGGTGTATTAACATGACACAATTAAAACTATAAAGAGCAGCCTGTATATTGTCTATTTATTTTGGCCTCTGAACTTTATTTAAAATTAATCATGTTTCTAATCGCCAGATATAGTGGAGCACATCTTTAGTCTTAGCACTGGGAGAGCAGAGGCAGGAAGATCTCTGAGTCAGACTGGTCTACAGAGTGAGTCCAGGACAACCAGGGCTACACAAAGAAAGTCTGTCTTGAAAAACCAAAAAAAAAAAAAAAAAAAAAAAAAAGAGAGAAGGAAGGAAAGAAGGAAGATAGGAATGAAGGAAGGATTGACCAACAAAATCTTAATATACTTAAGCACAGCTATAAACACAGTTTGCAGCAGATGTGATAAAACAAGCCAGCAACCCCAACCCTTAGGATGCACAGGCAAGCAGATTTCCATGAGTTTGAGACCAGCCTAGGCTATATAAATGCAATTTCAGTTTTCATATCAGTGCACACTGCCATGGTTTTCCTTGTACACACATCTATGGTATAGCTTAATCTTTTAGTTAGGCATATTAAAATATTAACAAAAATTAAGCATAACATTAAAATATACTATAATAAATGATGCTTAAATTCTTCCTAGAAAGTTAAATTACAGTAGCCTACTGCAAAAAAGTTTCCTACGTTTTTAGGTGAAAATGTGCAGGGCTAAAAGAGAGAACACTGAATTTTATTTCTTTCCTAAACAATTTTAACAAGACAATAAAGATGGCTATATTCACTTAAGTCAAATTCATTGTATAAGAATTGGTTATAATTTTCTCACAGGCTAGGTAATTTAAGAGTCTACATTATGCACAGGTAGAGCTCTAACAGAAATTTTTGGAGGATATAATACAAAGAGCTGTCAAGTTAGCTCAGTGTGTAAGGGGCTTCAAAACCAGGGCTCAATCCTTGGAATTCACATGGTAGAAGGGAGAACCAACTCTCAAAAGTTGTTTACAGAAAGGTGAAACAACAGGATGTTCTAAGAGAAGGTAAAAATACTCCTTCCTTAGGGAAGCTGGTTAAAACAGGAAATGAACAAATCAAAACAGCTTCAGTCAGTCCCTGAAACTGAGCAGATCCCTGGCCTTTCCCTCCCCCACAGGATATAACAACAGTAAGGACTTCCCTCCCCCGCAGGATATAACAACAGTAAGGACTTCCCTCCCCCACAGGATATAACAACAGTAAGGACTTCCCTCCCCCACAGGATATAACAGTAAGAACTTCCCTCCCCACAGGATATAACAGTAAGGACTTCCCTCCCCCACAGGATATAACAACAGTAAGGACTTCCCTCCCCCACAGGATATAATAACAGTAAGGACTTCCCTCCCCCACAGGATATAACAACAGTAAGGACTTCCCTCCCCCACAGGATATAACAACAGTAAGAACTTCCCTCCCCCACAGGATATAACAGTAAGAACTTCCCTCCCCCACAGGATATAACAACAGTAAGGACTTCCCTCCCCCACAGGATATAACAACAGTAAGAACTTCCCTCCCCCACAGGATATAACAACAGTAAGGACTTCCCTCCCCCACAGGATATAATAACAGTAAGAACTTCCCTCCCCCACAGGATATAACAGTAAGGACTTCCCTCCCCCACAGGATATAACAACAGTAAGAACTTCCCTCCCCACAGGATATAACAACAGTAAGGACTTCCCTCCCCGCAGGATATAACAACAGTAAGAACTTCCCTCCCCCACAGGATATAACAGTAAGGACTTCCCTCCCCCACAGGATATAACAACAGTAAGGACTTCCCTCCCCCGCAGGATATAACAACAGTAAGGACTTCCCTCCCCCGCAGGATATAACAACAGTAAGGACTTCCCTCCCCCACAGGATATAACAACAGTAAGGATTGCTGGGAAAGACTGAGACAAAGTAGCCTGGAAGAAGCAGATCAGCCAGGGCCCAAAAGAATCAAAGTCAGGCATAGCTGCCGGAAGATGCTCAGGCCAAATGAATCATAAGGAAGACACACCTTCCATCTGTTGCACTGCCTTCAGGTTGGACAATGTGCTCCAGGTTTCTAACTTTCGTGAATTGTCACTATGCTGGAGTAGGCTTTTGGTGAGGCAGCTGTGTTTGAGTCAATCCTACTCCTGAAAGTAATCCCTCACCACATTCTTGCATGTAACCTAGTAAAACTCATTGGTTCACCAAGGTGGACTTTGATCGTATCCAAACACTGGTCTGTCATCAGTTCCCTATCTAGGCGAGCAGACATTTGTTCAAGTCTTCCCAAGAATAGTGTCACACAACAATGATGACAGAAACAGACTCTAAATTTCACACAAGGAAATGGGGAACCACAAATAGCTAGACATCACTAAATTAAAAAAAAATATGATGGAAAGAATAACTTATTAATACCACAAAGACCAAAACTTGAAACAAAGCCACAGATACAGAGACCAATAAAAGAGACGTTTTAAAACGTAAGTTTTGAAATATGCCACAAATCCATGTTATTAAAAATTAACTGACTATACAGACATTCATGCATACAGTCAAAAACTAAACATCTAAAAGTTACAGCAGACTAAATGTGTTCCATTTTTAATGGGGGTAAGGGGGAATGCTACAAAATGCTAAAAAGTAAACCTATGAAGAGACACTTTGTAGAAATGAAAATGCAAAGACCTTAAATACATAAAACTACATTCCATCTTATTTACAAGGAAAGAAATTCAGCCATAATGACAAACTATCTCCTCATTACCGGGTTGGCAAAAGCAAAGAGGCCAATAAAACCCACTTCAGATGGGTCTTCCGGGCAAACACTTTCATACACTGCTGGTGCTTGGGACGGTCATCAACATTATAAATGCCTATCACTTCACCAAGGTATTCTATTGCAAGGAGTTGATCCTAGAGAGGTAATTTATACAAATATAAGCTAAATATAAACAGTTCTTACTGTAGCAATATTTTCTATAAAGCAGAAAATGTGGGCATGCACCCAGTATAAACGTTGCTAACAAAGCTAGAAAACATCTATACAATGATAACATCTTTGGAACACCTATCTTTGGGTGGAACTTAAAAATTGAACTTTAAAAAAAGAAAAAATAACAGTAAGGAATGGTAAGGTGTGTGTCAAAACACACACACACTCACACACACATACTTTTGCCTGTATATAGCCTATGCAGGTGTCAGGAAGAATATCTCCAAAATGTAAACAGAATAAGAATATATATTTGCTTCTCTATGTGCAGGCTGTCTTTGGAGCACAGAAGAAGTGAGCAGTGTGAGTAAAAAGATCTTTTAAAACAACAAATTAGCCGGGCGTTGGTGGCACATGCCTTTAATCCCAGCACTCGGGAGGCAGAGGCATGCACTAACAAAACAGTCAATTGTTATCTAAAAGTGTTTAAAGTTTTATAATTTTAAAAAGTAAATGAGAGTAAGGAAATATAAACTGAAAACACAGGACATAAAACTACATTCCATGATCCTCTGCAAATAAAAAGGCTAAGTCTTTGCCAAGTTCAGGAAAGAAAGTTCTTCCCTGGTGACTGTTAGCAAGTTAACAACAAACTATGAAAATGTCAAACATTGCAAATCTATCATTTCAACAGAAATGAACCATAAATGGCATGTCTGTAGTAGTTATTACCTCAAGGAAAATTTTATATATATACGTTAAAAACTAGAAAAAAATACTAGTAGGGTTTTTTGTTTTTGTTTTTTGTTTTTTTGGTTTTTTTTTGGTATTTACGAGACAGGATTTTGAGGCTGTCGGTCCAGCCTGGCCTCAAACTAACAGAGATGCGCCTGCCTCTGCCTCCCGAGTGCTGGGATTAAAGGCGTGCGCCGCCACCACCACCCAGCAATACTAGTAGTTTTATTTTTATTTCAAAATAAGCTCATTTCTAATCATGATTATGATCAAAGAGGTGATCCAGTCTTCCCTTACTGCACGCTACTACATAATGAGGAGTGCTGCAATCGAGGGATAAAAGCAGCTCAGCTTGCAGGGTTGCCCTGGACACTATATGCTTAGTACAGCAGCAAGTCTTACTCTTCAAAATTGTCACCTAAGTAATGAATATCCCAATTAAAGACAGTAGAGGTAGGTTAGCTGACCAAATACCACGTCAATTTAAAGGACACTTTTGAGAAACAGGATGATAAATCCTACTGACAGATATTAACACTGCTGAGCTCATCAAAGACTGAGCATATAGAGCAGATTTAGCAATCTAACTCCTGCAACAATGGTTCCCAGTACTCTGTAAAATCTAAACAGAAGAAGAGCGCTCTAATGGCCGGGGTCAGAGTGCTCACAATAGGGTAATGTCATAAGCAGGACACTGTGCTCAGATCACCTGTGCCTTACCTTCTTTTGAAGAACATTGACCTTCCGTTCCTTCACATCCAGCATGTCCTTGAGGTCATGTATCTCTCCAGCTTGTGTACCCTTCTCCTCAGCCATATCTTGAATTTGTTTGGTTTTTTTATTCAGCATCGTCTCCTTTTCTTCCAAACGCAATCGAAGAGCATCCACCTAAGAACAGAAGATTTACAGACAATGAGCGGAACAGAAAGGAGAGTAATACTGCTGTGGAATAAGCTTTTTGTACCCTGTGAAGACTTGTCACTTAGACTGGTTGAATAAAAAGCTGAATGGCCAATGATGAGGCAGGATTTTTGGGGTAGAGAGGATGCTAGTAAGAAGGGCATAGGAGGTGCGGAGAGATACAAGCCAGAGACAGAAGAAGCAGGAAAGCAGCATGGGCAGTACACAGTAAAGGTAATAAAGCCATAAGACAGAAAGTAAATTAATAGAAATGGGTTAACATATAAGAGCTAGTTAGAAACAAGCCTAAGCTATCAGCTGAGCTTTCAAAATTAGTAAGTCTCTGTGTCATTATTTAGGAGCTATCTGGCAGACAGAAAGAGACTAGCTATAGAACAAAATTCCTAGGAATAAAGTTGCCCATATTTTAAAGATAATAAAACTGGGATTCAGGAGAGTTAAATTACTTTATTTTAAAAATTACAATAAAAAGTGATTAGAACTTAAAAATTCCAAATTTATCATATTCAAAGGATATCAAAAAGTGCTACATTTCTGCAGGGACTTCCCCTTCAGCAGAGTATAGTAAAAGTAACATCTTGGGCGGAGGAAGAAGCAGTTAACTCTTCTAGGATGTTCCCTAGGGGAACAGAGCAGAGCTCAGCTGTAACCACTCTCTAGGAGAGGAGCAGGATTCCTATGTCCTGTGAGGAGATAATCCCCCACTGCACAGCAAGTTTCAGGTAGCCTGGCTTCCCAACAACTCAGGACACCTTTCCCTGCAGGCCTGAGCTGACCTATTGTGGCTCTACTCTCTAGAGCTGTCCTGTTGTGGCTCTAGGTATAGCCTGGCTTCCCCAGAAGTCAGGACACCTTTCCCTGCAGGCCTGAGCTGACCTATTGTAGCTCTAGGTAGCCTGCCTTCCTGACAAGTCAGAACACCTTTCTCTCCAGGGCTGAGCCTTCCTCTACAGAGTGTATCAGTCAGAAAGACTGTTGAAAGAATCAACATTGGACCTGGTTTTTAAATGACAAATAGAACCTTATTAGATCTGAAACAGAAAGTAGAGGTAATCTAGGAAAGGTAGGAGAATATTTTGAAACAGCATGTTTTAGTAAACTCATTTGAGATGGCTGAGCATAAAGCAAAAGAAGGGCATGGGATGACCCTAAAATGGCATATAGAAAGTCCCAACTGCCAAATACAGAACTTAAGTTTATCCTGTTTGCAAACAAAAGTCAGTAAAAGACTTGTAAAATGGTCAATATTCACATTTCAGAAAATTAACTACTCTGATCACTGGGAACACAAAGACAATTGTTATTCTCCACCTTTTGCAGAAGTTAGAACCTAATGGAGAAGACAGCAGGATCGGAAAGTACTAAATATCTTTCAGGGAGCACTAAAACTGAAGCATAGTGTTTTCTAAACATACAGAATAGGGACTAGAGAGATGGTCCCGTAGGTAATGGCCAAGCTGACAAGCTGAGCTCAATCCCCAGAATACTCTGGAAGAGGACTGGCTCTCACAAGCCTGGGCAGCTTATGAAGGATAAGCAGATGCTAGCTAGTGAGGAAGATACCAAGAGAACCTTTTAGAGTAGAGGTACCATAAATACTGATGATCAGAGGAGACGTTAACCTCTCAAGAAGCTACACACAGAATGGTTATAGCTAAGGACGGGTAGAAAGTCACAGGGAAGGAAGCTAAAGACAGGTCCACATCAATTTCAGGTCTAGAAGCTTGAATTTTATTGCTCATACAAAGGAAGGAAGAACCTTATTTCTTAAAAGTCTCCCTGACAATAACTGACATACATGATAATGATCTAAAAATACCACCCAACAAACTAGAAATCCTGTACACCTCACTTCTCAGTTTCTTGCAACTGCGAATATAAAGTACCATAAACTGGGCAGCTTAAGACAAAAACTATTTCCCCACACAAATCTAGAGGCTAAGAAAAGTCTAAGAGTAAGAGTGTAGGACTAAACCTCCCACTGAGCTCTCAGCTGGTCATGCCACCATGTCTTTCCAACACCATCACAGACTCTAACCCTCTAAAATTGAACCAATTAAGTGCTTCCTTTTTAAGTTGTCTTGGCTATGGTGTTTTGTCACAGCAACAGAAGAGTAACTAAGACACAGCCTATTTAAATATAAGTTGCCCAAATGAATCTGAGGTTTGGGTAGAAAGGTGTATATGATGGGCACTATTAAACTTAAAACACATACTGCTATAAAACTCTCCAAAATGCTAACCTATAACAAACGTTTTTAATTAACAGATGAGTACTCAATAAACACAAGTGGCACATGGAGAAACATGAACTCACTAATGATTGAAAATGAAGAAACCATGAATCTAGAATGGTATATGCTTGGAGTTGTGCCATGCCCTGCTTTCTAGTTTTTGCTAGCTTCTGTGATGGGGCTTTGGAGAAATCTTGGGAGATAAAAAGAAAGATCTCAGGGCAAAACAATCTGTGTGAGGCTGGCACAGATAAAGCAGCTGCTCTAGAAAATCCTGAAGTATACTGAGACTAGGAATATAGTCACACTGCTCCATTCTCCAAACTCTGTGATCAAAGGACTTCAATACTCCTCAAAGTTATAGCTATGAAAGGCCCTACGGAGCTTTTAAGTTAGACCTGTCAATATGTAGTAAACTATAAATTGAAATTTACATAGCTCTAGGGCTAAGGGTATAGCTCAGTTGATAGTATGCTTCCCCAGCTCACAGGAAGCACTGGGAGCTCAGTCCTCAGTATCACATTATTATATAGCAATTTCCTTCAAGTTAAAACATTCCCTCCTAGAGAAAGGCTCCTTAAGACACAGGAAATTTTAAAAGAGGCTCATAAGACACTAGAAGTCCATGTGTCTGGGAATACTGAAACTTAGAAGATTCACAAGGCCCCTCCCCAAGTTTATAGAAGCAATTAACTTCTGCCAGGGGAGCTCCCGAGAACAAACTAGTTGAGCTACCTAAGCAGAGTTTGTAACCTGCTAAGCTGACTGCAAGTCATGCAGAGACCTCTACAGTTCAGGATTTTGTGAGGTAGAGTAGGCTTTTCAGTGATACAACTGCCTTGAGTCCTGCTCCTATAAGTACATCCAATAAACTGACTAATTCACCAAGTTAGACCTCTGTGAATTGTTTCTTTGGTCTGTTGTCAGTTCCCTCTCTGGGATGAAGAAACATTTGTGTCCCATCTTCCCAATAGATGTCTCACACAACACACATAAGTCAGATGTGGTAGCATGAAAGGGAATCAGTCATTTCAAGATGGGCTGACCCTTGAAACAAGGGTTGTACCCTTTCTCCCAAGAGAGTGAGTGACACATTGAAAGTCTTAGAAATTGGTGGCAAGGACAGGACCAATCAGAGAGAAGGAAGGGAAGTTATGAAGGGAAATGATACCAGGAGCCTAAGAAAAGTCTAACCCAGAGACCCTGGGCAGACTCTAACCTCTGGGGTCCCTCTCATCCCCTTAATGGAACTGGATCTATTCTAATCTATTCTAATAAAGTCTGTCATTTTTGTTCTTTTGTTTCTTTGTTAGTCCCTTGTCTATGGCTGATTCTTCTCCATTTGAGCCTTTTTTACAGCCTTCTCAATCTCTGTCATGTTCACTCTCTTTAGGTTCTGTGTCAGTCACTCCTGTTTTAGACTATGGCCACTTTCATGTTCACTCTACCTATAACCTCAGGATCTGCAAAACCATTCCCCATTCCCTTCTCCAGTGGCCCTCCTCTCTTCAACTGTCACTTCTATTTCCTGTCACTTTCACTGTATCTGAATGGGTCTTCTTTCCATGACAAGCTAAGCAGTACTACCCCTCGCCTAGGACCCCTGCAACAACCTCCACAGACAAAGGCTGGAAGAAGTTTGTTAAATTACATTAGGAAGTCCATTATAGAAGCTTTGGATGGGGCTGGAGAAATGCCTCAATGGTTAAGAGCATTAGATGTTCTTCCAGAAGACTAGAATTTGATTCCCAGTATCACATGGCACCTCACAATTATCTGTAACTACATTTTTAGGGGATCCAAAGCTCTCTTCTGGTCTCTGTTGGCATCTCACTTGAAAGTGGCACTCAGGCATACATAAAGACAAAATACCCATGCACATAAATTTTTTTAACTTTTTATGTAAAATACATATTTCCTTAAAAATATAGTAAAAAAGTATAATTGTTTAAAATATTTCAAATCCTTTAACGACTGTGTGTGTTGCGGGGGAGGAGATTAATCTAAGACTAAGTACACTTTTTATATCAGTAGTTCTCAACCGCCCTAATATTGTTTAATACATTTGGCATTTAATAAATGTTTACATTAATGCTTTAAAACAGTTCCTCATGCTGTGGTGACCCACAATCATAACATTATATTCATTGCTATAACAGTAATTTTGCTACTGTTATGTATCATAATGTAAATATGTGTCTTCCGATGGTCTTAGGTGACCCCTGTGAAAGGGTCATTCAACCCTACCTCCAAAGAGGTCATGACCCACAGGTTGAGAACCACTGCTTTATATTATCTAATAAAGCTTAAAAGAAAGACCCAAAAGAAATGAATTTGGGGCTGGAGGAATGGTTCTGCCGTTCTTGCTTCTTATTACAACTGTCTGTAACTCCAGTCCCAGGGGATCTGACATCCTCACAAGTCATACATGAAGGAAAAACACCAATGCACATAAAATAATAATTTTTTAATGGGTACAGTCCAGTAGGGTGACAGGAACAAGGGCCACTGGTTACATTGTATCAGATGGATACAGTGTTGCATCCAGAAAGCAGAGAACAGAGAGAGACAAGAAGTAGGTCCAGGCTACGAAACCTCAAGGCCTTACCCCAGGGATTCATTTCAAGAAGGACTCCTTAAAGTAACACCATCTTTCCAAACAGTGACCTCAGATGGCAACCAAGTGTCCACATGTGCCCCACTCGAAACAACACACACACACACACACACACA